CGCGGGGGGTGCCGCGCCCCCGCCCTTTTTCCCCCCGTTCCCTTTACCGGTGACGAGGGGTTCACCCGCCTGCCCCCCGCTTTGGCGCTGCTCGGTATCCTCCGGCGCCGTCTCTTCGCCGTCCCGTGGTGCCGAGTCCTCCTCCGTCCCGCTCCCGGCGCCGGCGCCTGCACCGCGGTGAGAAATCGTGAAACCATGAGGTCCTCCCGGCACAACAGCCCCCCAAATTTAAGCTCCCCCGTCCCCCCAGCGTGGGAAAGGTGGCATCTAGTTGGACTTCTGGAAGCCCTTTGAGGTGGTCCCCCACAACGTCCTTCTCTCTACGGTGGAGAGATACAGAGTTGATGGATGGACCATGTGGTGGATGGTGGCATCCAGAGAGTCGTGGTCAACAGCTCCACGACCAGATGGAGACCAGTGAGGAGTGGTGTCCCTCAGGGGTCCATACTGGGACCAGTACTGTTCCATCATGGACATGTGCCACCATCATCCCTTTGACATGGTTCTCCACAACGTCCTCCTTTCTCAAGTCCATGGAGTTGATGGATGGAGCGTTGGGTGGATGAGGAATGGGGTGGGCGGTGGCATCCAGAGAGTCGTGGTTCAACGGCTCTGTGTCCAGATGGAGACCAGTGAGGAGTGGTATCCCTCAGGGACCAGTACTGGGACCAGGACTGTTCCATGTATTCATCAGGGACATGTGCCACCATCGTCCCTTTGACGTGATCCTCCACAACGTCCTCCGTTCTCAATTCCATGGAGCTGATGGATGGACCATTTGGTGGATCAAGAACTGGGCGGATGGTGGCATCCAGAGAGTCGTGGTCAACAGCTGCATGTCCAGCTGGAGACCAGTGAGGAGTGGTGTCCCTCAGGGGTCCGTACTGGACCAGTACTGTTCCATATCTTCATTAACCACATAGGTGGTGGGATCTAGGGCACCCTCAGCAAGTCTGGAGCTGACCCCAAGTCTGGAGATGACCCCAAGTTTGGGGACGAGAAGGACCCGGAGCTGTTGGGGTGGGGCCGGAGGAGGCCCCGGAGATGGTGCGAGGGATGGGACACTTCTGCTGTGGGGAGGGGCTGAGAGAGTCGGGGTTGGTCAGCCTGGAGGAGAGAAGGCTCCGGGTGGCCCTGGTGGTGGCCCTTCAGTACTTATGGGGACGGAGTGTTCGATGAGGTCCATAGTGATGGTTTTAAGGTGAAAAAGGGCAGATTTGGGTTAGATGTGAGGAGGAAATGTTTTCTGCTGAGGGCGGTGAGACACTGGAAGAGGTTTCCTGAAGAGGATGGAGATGCCCCATCCCTGGAGGTGTTCAAGGTCGGGTTGGACAGGGCTTGGAGCAACCTGGTCTAGTGGAAGATGACCCTACTCATGGAGTAGATGACCTTCAAAGGTCCCTTCCGACCCAAAGCATCCCATAATTCTCTGAAAAAGAACCGCCCACCCCATCTCCCATGGGACGGTGTGTCCCCACCCAGATCGGGCTGTGTCTTGGGGAAGTTCTCAGTGATGCTCTTGGTGGGTCCCCAAATTTACCTCCATCTTTGGGGGTTTTCTTGCGATTCCGGCGCTTTCCCCCCTGTCCCTGTTCCCGCACCAGTTCCCGCAGCATCTTCTCCACCTGGCTCCTGCCGGCCGTTTGCAGGATGAGGCCCAACTGCCGACGTAAATCGGGGTTCACCCCCCCATCGCTGGAACCGGCCCCCGCCGAAGGTTGGATCTGAGTGGGCTCCGGTTGACCCTGTTCCCCTTCCGCTTCCACACCTGGAAAAAAAAACAAAACCCAACCAACCAACCAAAACCGCCGTTAGAAATTCCAATCCCCAAAATCCCAAGGGATTCACCCAAATTTGGAAGGGTTTCCACCAAAATCCCAAGGGATTCACCCAAATTTGGCAGGGTTTCACCAAAATCCAAAGGAATTTAACCAAGTTTGGAAGGGTTTCCACCAAAATCCGAAGGGATTCAACCAAATTTGGAGGGGTTTCCACCAAAATCCCAAGGGATTCACCCAAATTTGGCAGGGTTTCACCAAAATCCAAAGGAATTTAACCAAGTTTGGAAGGGTTTCCACCAAATCCCAAAGAATTCACCCAACTTTGGAAGGATTTCCACCAAAATTCCAAGGGATTTACCCAAATTTGGAGGGGTTTCCACCAAAATCCCAAGGGATTCACCCAAATTTGGAGGGGTTTCTGCCAATTCACCCAAATTTGTGGTTCCCCAAAAACCTAAGGAATTTCCCAAATTTAGGGGGTCCCCAAAAACCTGAGGAATTCACCCAAATTTACAGGTCCCCAAAAACCTAAGGAATTCAGCCAAATTTTGCAGGTTCCCAAAAACCTGAGGAATTCACCCAAATTTGGGGTTCCCCAAAACCTGAGGAATTCACCCAAATTAGGGGGGATTCCCAAAACCCTGAGGAATTCACCCAAATTTGGAGTTTCCCAAAAACCTAAGGAATTCACCGAATTTTGGGGGGGTCCCCCAAAACCCCAAGAAGTCACTCAAATTTGGAGTTTCCCAAAAACCTAAGGATTTCACCCAATTTTGGGGGTTCCCCAAAAACCTTTGGAATTCCCCCAAATTTGCAGAATCCCCCAAAACCTTTGGAATTCCCCCAAATTTCGGGGGCTCCCCCAACCCTAAAGAACTCACCCCAACGTGCCGAACCCCCAAAACCTCCGGAATTCCCTCCCAATTTCCCAAATCCCCCCCTAAAACCTCCAAAATTCCCCCCCCC